TATTTGCCTGCTGTCCACTTCCATTTGAATGTAAGCTCCTTGAATTCAAGAGAAATGTTTTTGCCTTTCCTTTGGATCCCCAGTACTTAGCACATAATAAGCACTTAATCAAAGTTTTGTTGACTGACTGACTGACTGAAATGGAGGAGAATTGGTCATTTCCCAGGGCTAATGGTTTCACTTTGCCCAATGACTCAAAACCCAAAAGAAAATTTACAGTAGACATGGTTTAATAAATAGGTTCAGAGGGGCAGCTAGGTGACACAGTGGTTAGAGCACTGACCCTTTAGTCAGGAGGAGTCCAGTTCAAATCCAGCCTCAGATACTTTTTGTGTGACCTCGGTCAAGTCACTTCACCCAGACTGCCTAAAAAAAAAAGGCTCAGAGATTGCAACTCTCCTTCCTCCACACACACACAGACACACACACACACACACACACACACACACACACACACACACACACAAACCCGGAGTTTCTGGTTTTTCATTCCTCAAACCCACATTTCACAGAGGGTATTGAAAGCCTCCAATCAGAAAATCAGAGTAATTTGTTATTTGTCATTGTTAAGTTGTGACTGACGCTTCATCACCCCACTCGGGGTTTTCTTGGCAAAGATACTGGAGTATCTTCTCCAGCTCATTTTACAGATGAGGAAACTGAGGCAAACAGTGACTCAACTTGCCCAGGGTCATACAGCTAGTAAGTGTCTGAGGTCAAATTTGAACTCCAGGCCAGGTGACCTAGCCACTGTCCCACCTGTCAGAATAATGACCTTAGTCCAAAAGTCCAAAGACCCTATAATCATTTGCATCAGTTAAATTGATTCCAAGAAGTGAAAAGGGCACCCAGCCCTGAGTCAGGAGAACTGGGTTGTAGTGTCAACTCTGCCAGTAACTTATTGTTTAACATTTTAGGGTCACAATTTTCTCAATTATAAAATGAATAGATTGGACTAGATGATGTCTATAGCCTTAGTTTTAATATTTTAGGATTCTAAACTTTCCTTGGGCAAAGACTGAGTGTAGTAATCCTAGAGGAACTATATTTAGAAAAGGGTGTGGAAGACCTTGCAGGATCTTGCTTTTCCAAACTTAGTCCTGTCTGTCCTCTCTAAAAAGCCATTCCCATGGGGTGATAGCCACCTAAGCACCTAGGCAGGTAGGTGATTCAGTGGATACTGTGCTGGGTCTGGAATCAGGAAGACCTAAATTCAAATCCAGCCACAAACACTTATTAGCTACTTGTCTTTGGTCAAGTCACTTGACTTCTGTTTGCTTCAGTTTCCTCATCTGCAAAATGGGGATAATAGTAGCACATACCTCCCAGGGTTGTTGTGAGGATCCAATGAGATAATATTTCTAAAGTGCTTAGCTCAGTGCCTGATCATAGTAAATGATATATAGATGTTGGTGGTGGTAGAGGTATTAGTGTTGGTATTGTTCATATCACCTAACCCACCCCGGGGACCTAACAGTTGATTGCTTAAGACTGACAGCCAACACCACCCAATCCAATAAGCATTTATTGGGTCTCATTTATTGGGTCTCATTTATTGGGTCTCAGTTTCCTCATCTGTAAAATGAGGAAGGTCTCTGAATTCCCGACCAGCTGTTCATCTATGAGCCTATTAAGCACTTACCATGTCCATCCACTCACTCCCAGAGTTTAAAACTACAAACAATGTCACATCTGGTACTAGGTACTGGTGATACCCAAAGACAAGCCTTAGCACTTGCTCCCAGCTCCCACCAGCATCCCTAAGTGACTATTTCATTCTGCTCCAGTCTAGCTTTAGCCCTGTCTTCCCCACAGCTTTCTATAACCTCAGCTGTTATCTCCTTTTATTTTTTATCTAGTGATGAAAACAAATGTGTAGTGTTTCTCTCTTATGACAGATCACCCCATAGGCACAAAGTACTCAAAGGATGCTTTCGTTCCCCCTCACCCTTCTCCTAATCTTTATCCCTTTTGAAATCCTCACCAAAAGCAGCTCCCCAAACCCTTTAAGCTTTCCCTGGTCCCAGTTGAGCTACGATTGGTTAATAAGCTAATAGATTAAAAGCTGGGTCCATGGTCCAGCTTATTAACTCATTTGAGGAATGACCGGGGTGATGCATTGGCCATGGAAGCAGGGTGGCTACCTAGACCTCCCACTTGTCCTCACATAGTGTGTCTTACCCCTTCTCCTGCCCTACCCCCCATCTGAGGCTCAAACTCACTGACAAATTGTGCTTTTTGTGTAGCAATAGTCAGTTGAGTTCTTTGCTATTCAGACAAGCACATGGAGGCCGGCAGAAAAACACTCCCTTACATACCATCCGAATGACTAATGTGCTCAGCCAGCAGAGTTGGTGGAGTCCAGATCTGCTGAAAAAGCCAGAAGCCAAGGATGAAGAGAGGTTGGAGTTGTCTGCTGCCCAAGCCCAGAGAGGAAATGAAATGCCTTTCAACTGGAACTCACTTTCTGTCTGATGAAGATAAGGCTGCCCGCCATGTGGCCAAGCAACTGCCACGGAAAAAAGCCTATGAAGACCTCACCTCTCAAAACCTTCAGATACAGAGACCTGGCAGCTCTTGCATGTCTAAGTTTGGGTATACCTACTCACTCACTCAATCAATCAACATTTACCGATCACTTGGTGTTTGTCCTTTGTTCTCAAAGAGGACATCAGGGAGGCGATGCCATGACTTCCAAGTGAATTGGATTTAAGTGAGGGAGAGCTGTGCGAAGTCACCAGCCTCACTCTCTCCTCCGGAGCCATCTGGGTCCAGTGGCAGGATATAGATCAGGACGACTGGAGATGGCCCAGGATGCAGTGGGGGAACCTGGCCTTTTTACGCTAAGGGCTTTCCCAGGTCTCAGTTTGACTGAGGCAATGCCCATTCAGCAATGCTGCCAAGCACTGTACTTAAGCTGTCTGGGGATACACAGAAAGACAGATCCACAGTCCCTGTTCTCTAGGAACTCACATTCTAATGACAGAGACAACAAGTAAATAAACACATACATACAAGAGATATACAGTGTAAATGGTTGGGAAAGGTCTCAGACACAGCCCTAAGGCTGTATTAGTTGTTATGGGTCATCTAAATCAGAAATTCTCATGTAAAATCATAGACTTAGAGCTGGAAGGTTATTTAGAATTCATCTAATCCAATGTGGTGCAGTGGATAGAGTGCTGGCCCTGGAGTCAGGATGACCTGAGATCAAATCTGGCCTCAGACACTCACTAGCTGTATGACCCTGGGCAAGTCACTTAACCCTGTTTGCCTCAGTTTCTTTATCTGTAAAGTGAGATGGAGAAAGAAATGGTGAACCATTCCAGTATCTTTGCCAAGAAACCCCCCCCCCCCCAAATGGGGTCACAGAGAGTAGGACATGACTGAAATGCCTCAACAATAACAAGCCCAATCCTCCAACCCTCCACTCTCAAATTTTTAGATGAATCAACAGAAGCCCCGAAAAAAGCTAAATGGCTGCCCAGGAAGTAGATTGCAGAGCCAGGATTTGAACCCAGGTCCTCTCCCTCAAACCCAGGGCTCCTTCCACTGAACCACACTGCCTCTACTGTTGGGCTTGCTTCCATCATGCTATAGCTCTGATACGTAAGGGATTTAGGTGGTAGAACAAGGTCCCTGCCAACTTGAAAAGAGAGAACAGGCAAGTTAGAATCCCTTCCTTTCTCAGGATCAGAGAATTAGAGTGTTAAGAATCGAGAAGGGATGATAGAGGTCGTTCAGTGGACTCCCCCCCTTCACAGAGGAGAAAGCTGAAGCCCAGAGAAGCAAAGTGAATTGTATACGGTCACACAGCTTGTCAGAGCAGAACCGACATTGGGAGTCAAATTTCTGAACTCCGAGCCCAGCACTCTCCCTAGTACATGAAATTTCTTTATTTCCATCAATCACCTCTAGCTCCAAAGAGGCAAAAGATGAGAAAAACTCAATTCTCTTCTGCTCTAATTAAACTATGTCCAAGGGTTTAGATCTTCAGGCCAGGAAAACAGAAAGCCATTAGTATAAAAAAAAAAAAGGGATTCAGCACAACAAAGTGCTAGTAAATGTTAAACAAATGGCTCTTAAAAAAAAAAAAAGTAGGGGCAGCTAGGTGGCGAAGTGGATAGAGCACCGGCCCTGAAGTCAGGAGGACCTGAGTTCAAATCCGGCCTCAGACCAAACACTTGACACTTACTAGCTGTGTGACCCTGGGCAAGTCACTTAACCCCAATTGCCTCACCAAAAAGCAAAAAAAACCAAACAAACAAAAAAAGTAATTGCAATACATTCAAGTTAAATCTACATTATAAATAGCCAGGTGGTGCAGTGAATAGAGGCCTAGGCCTAGAGTTAGGAAGAAATGAGTTCAAATTTGATCTCAGACACTTACTAGCTGTATGACCCTGGGCCGGTCGCTTAACCACTGTTCGCCTCAGTTTTCTCATAAGCAAAATGGGGATAATAATAGCACCTACCTCCCAGAGTTGTTGTGAGGATCAAGTAAGATAATAACTGCAAAGTGCTTAGCACAATGCCAGGCACATAATAAACATTATATAAATATTAGCTACTATTAATATTATTATCATTATTTTCTCCACCATTTTCTTAAGTCCTACCTTCTTAATTTCTTCCCTTTGTTAATTATTTCTTATCATATATATATACATATGTACATCTTTGTAGGTATTTGTTTGCACATCGTCTCCAGCTTTAGATTATAAGCTCCTTGAAGGCGAGGATTGTCTTTTGCTTCTTTTTGAATCCCCAGAACTTAGCACAGTACCTGACACAAAGTAGATGCTTAACAAATATTGATTGATTGACTAATCAAGTTTAGATAATCAACAAAACAATAAATAAAGTTTTGATTGATAGTATTTCCTAATTTCCAAAATGCTCATACTGAAAATTTAACAACCAGCTCTCTCATTGGTCTAGCGTATCATTGGCAGTATCTGTAGGCAATTGGCTACCTCCCTAGGGAAGGTCAAACTTACCTGCTGTAGCAATGTAAAAAAGTGGATGAAGACTTCACTTCTCAAGATTTTCGGATCCATAGGGACTGGAAAATAATGAACATCATTCAGAGTTAGCATGGGAAGATGGGAGAAGCCTGGCCCCGACAGCCACAATGCTCTCATTCCACACTGTATCCTAACCCGGGCATCTCACTGCAATGTAGGCTTTGAACCTTTACTCAGGCACTCTAGCAGGAATGGGGTCACCTCCAGCATGGCAGCCAACTAAGGCCAGTCCCTTTTGTCTAAATGTTAAGTAGAAGGCCCTCCCATTGCAGGAAGGTCTCCTTGAATGATAAACCTGAGAAATCACATGCTGTCTGTAGCACTCACTTGGACGAGCCAATTCAATTCTCCAAGTATCAGTTTTTTCATCTCTAAAATGGGGATTATAACACTTACATTACCTACCTCAGGAATATTGAGAGGAGATTTAAAACTATAAATCTAAACCTGGCAAGGACCACAGAAACTATCTAGTCCAATCCTTTCTTTTTACCAATGAAGAAAATTGGCCCAAAAGTCAACTAAAATCTCCAGTCACACAGGTAGTAAGCACAACTTACTGCATGGCTCAGAATGCAGAGCCAGGGTTATTTCAACTGGGCCATCCTGGTTCTTTGTGAACCTTCCAGTGCTCTATTCAATTCAACACTTCTGCGGCTACTATATGCAAGGCACTATACACATGAGTTATTACTATGAGTCTACAAAGTGGTGCGGTGGATAGAAAGCCAGCCCTCGAGTCAGGGAGACCTGAGTTCAAATCTGACCTCAGACACTCACTAGCTGTGTGACCCTGGGCAAGTCACTTAACCCTTTTTGCATCAGTTTCCTCATCTATAAAATGAGCTGATGAAGAAAATGGCAAATCACTCCAGTAGCTCTTCAATGAAAACCCCAAATGGGATCATGAAGAGTCAGAAGCAACTGAAATGACTGAACAACAATAAAAAAAGCCCCTACTGAGTGGTTCCATGTCACCTTCCACTACTCCTATTTGGAAATCTTCAGTCCAGACAAACAAATTTTTTCTCTTGTTTCTCATTGCTTCTGTAGAATATAAACTCTTTGAGGGCAAGGGACTGTTTTATTTTTCCCTTTGGACGCCTAGCACCTAGATTAGTGCCTGGCCTATAATTGATAATTAACAAATTGTTGACTTGAATGGAATTGCCAAACATGGGACTTTCCACACCTTCCTCCCACACCCCCCCCCAGAATGGTCTCCCCACTCTCCTCTACTGGTATCATGTCTCTCCTTCATTCAAGGTCCAGCTCAGATTCTAGCCCCTCTGTGAGGCTTTCCCCAGTCTCTCAGTGATTACTTCTCCTCTATTCTATGCCAAGGGCAGCTAGGTCTTGCAGTGGATAGCACACCAGCCTTAGGGTCAGGAGGACCCAAGGTCAAATCCCACTGTAGACATATACTATCTCTGTGACCTTGGGCAAGTCACTTAACCCTGTTTGCCTCAGTTTCCTCATCTGTAAAATGAACTAGAGAAGGAAATGGTAAAACCACCCTAGTATCTTTGCCAAGAAAATCCCAAATGGAGTCATGAAGAGTCAGATATGACTGAAGAACAACATTAATCCATGCTACACTTGCCATCTGTACTGCACATCTTGAATTTAATATATACTATCTCATGTTATTTATCTTTCTGTGTCTATGCCCTGTCTCCCCAGAGAGACTATCATCTACTTGAAGAAGAGGGATTGTATTTCATAGTTCAATGAATCCTTCCCAAATGCCTAGCACAGACTCTAGAACACAGTAGTTGTTTCTTACACACAGTAGGTGCTTTAGAAATTTTTACTGAAGATAATGATAATCTCAAGTTGTTGCTCCTTGTTTCTCTGTCCCAACTCCTCTATTACCTTCCAGGGACCTTCTGTACAATCAACTCAAATTTAATTCAAGTAAGTATAAAGCCTTCTTTTTTCTTCCTCATTAAATCTAACTGGGAATTCCATTGCTCTGACCCTCACCTGGAAAGTAGAAGGAAGGAAGGAAGAAAGGAAGGAATAAAATAAGGGGCAAGGAACAGAAGGAAGAAAGGAAGGAGGGAAGAAAGAAGGGAAAGAAGGAGGAAAAGAAGAGGGGAAGGAAAGGAGGAGAGAAGGAAGGGAGGTAAAAGGGAAGAAAGGTGAGGGGAAGAAAAGAAGGGAAGAAAAAAAGAGAGAAGGAAGGGAAGGAAGGAAGGAAAGAAGAAAAAAGGAAGGGAGGGAGGGAAGATGAGAGTACTTTTTAAGCAATTAACATGTACCATGCACCGTGCTAAATGCTAGGGATACAAAGAGAAGAATGAAACAATACGTGCTATCAACAAACTCATGTTCTGATAGTCAAACAGGTCACGTATAAGAGGAAACAGCATCATTGCAAGAATTTTAAAACCATAAAGGAAAACTTTTCAAAAATCCATACACATACCACTCTGCAGGTACTGTTCCAGCTGATCTCTCCTCTCATCAGCCATAGATGTAGTCATTGCAAGGTAATACTTTGGTGGAAAAGGCGGCAGGCAATTTCCAAAAACACGTTTTAGCTGGAAGGTCAGACAAGTAAGACTTCAAATTTAGTACAGTTCTGAGCCAAGTTAAGAAAAAACATACACACACAAAATATTACACACAAGCTCAGGGCAAAATTCATCCAAGCACTGAGTCATAACTAGTAATTCTTGTGCCTGGGGCAGGAAAAGGAGGAAGAAATCATTTGCAGCTATCAGGCAGATAAGAGTGCCCTAGGTTAGTTACTGCATGGTTTCTACAGCGCTGAAGGGTTAGTTGCTTCTTGAGAAGCAGAGGGGCAGGTGGGCCAAAGGCTGGAATGTGACAGAGAAAAGCTGTCAGCATTTCTAAACTTCAGTGCCCTGAGTCAACACAGCATTGCCCCACCCTAGTTACTTCTTGGCAACTTCCTTATATATAAACAGCCTTTTAATAGGTGAAAAAGTTAAAGTGATGGTGTTTGGACTTCCTCAAGTCCATCTTTTCTTTCCTTTTTTTTTTTTTTTAAGATTATCACATAAGTAAACCTAGGGTCAAAAATTTAATTCCCCCCCATCCCAGCCTAATAGAATGCTTAGATGACAGCTAAAGAAGCATAAGTGCTCTGATATAACTTTTACTAAACCCAATAAACAGGGCAGCTAGGTGGTACAGTGGATAGAGCACAGGGTCCTGAATCAGGAAGACTCGTGTTTGTGAGTTCAAATGTGGCCACAGACAGTTACTAGCTGTGTGATCCTGGGCAAGTCACTTAACCCTGTTTGTCTCAGTTTTCTCATCTGTAAAATGAGCTGGAGAAGGAAATGGCAAACCACTCCAGTGTCTTTGCCAAGAAAACCCCGAATGGGGTCACAAAGAGTTGGATACAACTGAACAAGGACAACAAAACCCAATCAATGCTTTCCTCAGAGGGCCCTCCTTGACAAAGCTCTATGGCATCATATAGGGACTGGGATCCTGCAAAGTAATAAAAATAATTGAAATTGTATCTTCATTCATTTGCTTACTTATTGAGAAAAGCTTAGATACAAGATGCATCTGTATTTTTTACTGAAGAAAAAAATGCACAAAATCCCTAGGGTCCCTAAGGAAGAGGAGGAGAAGTAGGAAGAGGGGGAGGAGGGGAAGGGTCCCAGCCTGTCACCTCTGAGATATGAACATCAAATTTGGAGCACGATTACAGAATCACAGATTTAGATCTGGGAGCTCCATAAGATCATAAGTCTAGAGTTCCAAAGGCCATACCTTAGAAGTCATCAGTTCCACTTTCTTATTTTACAGATAAGGAAACTGAGGCCCAGAAAAGTTAAGTAATTTGCCTCAAGATTACACAGATAATAAATGGCACAGCTACTATTGCCCCTGTTCAAATCTTTTCTACTTTTGTCCCATTGAACAAAATTTTGAGCCAGATATAAAATAACTTAGGCCATATGCAGTCAAGAATTGGAACTAAAATGGAAAAATATGACCTATGTATCATGTATACAGTGCCCCAATGCCCCCTGCCATCAGGTAGATGACTATGGCACTAAAAAAAGGTGAGTGAGACAGCCTGGCACGATGGATAGCAAGTTATCCTTGGAATCATGAAGACCTGGATTCAAGTCCTGCTTCTGGGTGACCCTGGGCAAGTCACCTGACCTTTCAGTGTCCCATTTCAGGAGGTCTGATATTTTGAATGACTTTTGTTAAACCTATCTGCAGGGCTCCTGCAATTTCTTCTAGGCTTAAATATGTGAAATACAGATTTCATGTTGGTGGTTTTGTTCCTGTTAGACAAATAAGAATGAAGCACATTTTATAGGAACACTCAAGGAAATGAAAGGGGAAAGGAGTGAAACTGACAAAAGTCCCATATTTGAAGCAGGGGTCATCTGGGAAAACAACTGGAGATTTCTGGATTAAGAACTCTTCTAATACGATTCAAATAGAAAGTAGAAAAAAAAATCCTTGTCTTAATTGCATCCCATTATTTCTTGATTAACTGATATTTAAAAGGTAATTGTCTGCCTTAGCATCTGTTCATAAAAGTCACAGATGTTTCCCAAATTGACTCTAATCTAATGAGCAGCATATAGTGCATGCATCAGCAAATTCAGCCCTGTTGTCAGGCTGGTATAGAGCAAGGCTGTCAAACACACATCACGTGAGACAGAGAGGTCAGATGCTAAGTCGACAATCATTTGAATTCCCATACTGGTTCCAACCTGAAATCCCTTCTAGTCAGTCCGACAGCTTAGGCTAGCTGCTCAAAGGATTCCCAAGCACCACCCTCCACTACCAACACTACACTGGTCTGAGTGGGGAAACAAACATGCTATAAATATCTGGGCGGTTCGCTTTGCCAAAAGTCAATCATTAACTTCACAGGTTCTTCAGGTTTTCAAAACTGGAGAATTTTTTAGGGGTTTTGAAAGAACCATTGGTTTCACCTTCAATAAGAATCAGCTAGTTCTAGTACTGAGTTTAATTTATCTCTTTTAAAACTGTTTGAGAAGATCCCTGAAAACAGTTGCTCTTTCACCATTTAAAAATCATTTTTGTTATGTATGTTCAATATAACTCAGCTTTACTGCAAGGTTTTCAAGAACAAAGATGTGGAAATTGAAATCTCATCATAATACCTGGAGTCCAGTGCTCAATAACCATAAAGTCATACTGTGCTGCTTGTATGATGATACTATTGACCTGCCATCAAAAGGACATGTGCTGTGAGTGTCCTATTGACCATCCATCTGGCAGCAGAGATGGATTGTGCTATGTCTCGTTTTCAGTCCCCAGCACAATTGTTAAATCATTAAGGATTGGGACTACGTCAAATCCATATTCTATATTTCCTAATGCCTGAGCCATCTATACCAGCTCACCTCGTGCCCCTTGTAACCAGAGGCACATTTTTGTGAGAGAGCTAACTTTAGACATACACATCATCTGAAAATAGAGTTTTTCGTTGTCATCATTGATAAATATGTATTGAGTTTATTGAAGAGGCAGCATAGGATGATGGAAACAGAGGACCTGTGTTTGAATTCTCCCTCTGACACTTCCTACCTATGTGACCTCAGACAAGTCACTTAATGTCCCTGGGCCTCAATTTCCTCTCCTATAAAATGAGGGGATTAAATAAGATGGCTCCTGAGGCTCCCTATAGGGTCTATATCTATGACCCAATGACCTCTCTTACAATAGGACAATGGTCTGGGAACACAAGGAAGCATGAGACATGATTCCCATCCTGAAGAGACTTGCAAGCTTAATTGAGATAGAATGTAGGCATAAAAGGATAAATAATATCACGAGTAGACTGAATGAGTGGTCTAGACATCAAATGGCAGAGAGAATGAGAATCAGTTCCCAAGAGTTTGGGCAGTACTGAAGGAGATCTCAGAAAGTAAGTGGTTCCACAAGGAGGAGTAAGGTTTGAACAAGCACAGACATTGAGAGAGAGATTTTTTTTTTGGAAGCGGGAACAGTTTGAACAAAGGTAGAGAGATAGGAATTCTCTTGACTTATTCAGAGAAAAAGGAATAGGCAAGTTTGGATAAAGTAGAGGGTCTACTTACGTAGGGGAGAAGATAGGGTCCAACTGCCAAGCCAACTATCTTGTATGAGGATTATGACCCTGCTACCAATTAACATCGTACACTGAAAAAAAAATGTATCATCGGCTGGAAGGGTCAACATCTTACTTGATTGTGAGGGACTGACATTGGACCTAGTACTCACAAAAAGAGACCTAAAAACTAAATGTAGAGACTTGAAGGCTCCCTCAAATGTCCCATGAGTTACACTCCTTTTCTGATAAGCCAATATTATGTATGCTCTTAACATACAATACATTCACACACACACACACACCCCAGTCACAATATTAGATGCTCATCTTGAATTTATGGTCCACAATTAGGATCTTTTTGCCTATTACTTACTTCTCTACATGTCATTTTTGAAGTCATTTTTATTGGATTTTAGTGCTAGAAGAGATCTTATAAAATATCTACTAATGAGCTGGAGAAGGAAATGGCAAACCAGTATCTTTGCCAAGAAAACCCCAAATGGGGTCATGAAGAATCAGACATGACTGAAAAATGGCTGAACAACAAGAATAATGTCTACTAGATTATCCTTTTTAGAAAAGAAGGGAAATGAGAAAATAAACTGCAGTTCAGAGAGATTAGGTTACTTGTCCAAGGTCACACAGCTAGTTACTAGCTAAACTGGGACTAAAACCCAGATCTCTAAATTCCCAGCCCAGTGTTTTTTCCATTACACCATGGAAAAGCTACCTCAGCTTTTAAAAAACTGTATGATTGCCATAAAGTCAGCATCTGTATTAATTCTCAAATAAGAAACCATTACTAGTGTTGAATGTTAAAAGGGAAGCTATTGTTTACTCCCAAAATATAACTTAAGAAAACTCCATCTCAAGAAAAGGCATGGAACTCCCCAGGCTCAAATAAATAAATTTGTACATATTGGTGGAAAAATTTAGTTAGCCTAAACACTATAATCACTTCCAAAGAGTTACATAGAACTTTTAGGTTTACAGAACATTTTTAGTTGACCCTCTCAACAACCCTGTGAAGTGAGGGCTATTATTATCATCCCAGTTTTACAGATGAAAAAACTGAGACTGTGAAAGGTTCAGTGACTTGCTCATGGTCACACAACCAACAGGTGTGTAAGACAGGATTTTCAGGTTTTCCTGACTCCATATCCAGCACTTGGAGGTATATTCAGAAATGACTGCAGTGTTAAAAATGAAAGGCATTTTAAAAAACTCAAGTTAAGGGAAGAATCATTTAAATCTTTACTTCTTGTTCTGGCAATTTTGCCAACTCTGAAAAGCCACTTAAGAACTATGCATACTGGAGAAATAGAAAGAGGAGAAATTTACACCAGCAAAACACAAGGAAGATGGATGTTGCAAAGAATATTGTCACTTTAGTACTTGGAAAAATTGGGCCCCACTGTTGGATACCACTTAAAATCCATTTAGTCTCCACAGGGAGCATGGCCAATGTCATTCATTAAATGCCATTTAAATATTCCAAAGATCCCTAATTTGGAGCTTCTAAAGCAGAAAACTCTAGAAAAGACAGTGCAGCAAAGGTTTACCCACCATCTCTCTTCCCTTTTGTCTCCAGATGGGATGACAGGAACCTCACAACTGTCCTACAAGTCATTTTTATCTGAGGCTACTGATTATGCACAGACCTATCCAGAAATTCTTCAAGATGCTTCCTATCTGTTGCCTTAAAGGAAGCCTATCTCATCATGTCATCCTATTAACTCATTACAGGCATACACTTGGATGTTTCCCTACTATATGACCCAAATCCCTAACTGTCGACAACCACCATTAAGCACCTACTATATGTAAAAAATTCATCAGACCTCTTGACTCCCATATTCCCAGTGACCATATGGTTTTCACATTATTGGTATCAAAACATTCCCAGAACCAGTTGTACACATCTTAGTCAAAAGCACCTAATAGTATTTCAATTTTCTGAATCCACAATTTATAAATCATCTACCACAAAGGACAGTACCATTATTTCCATCAACAAATACATTTCATACCAATATATTTAAAATTTACTTCCAAAATATAAGAGTAAAATAAATGCTTCCTTTAATCAGTTACCTTAGTTTATTCAGGTTTTTTCACCCCACCAAATTAGGAAAACAAAATGACAGATGGGCAATCCTAATCCCAGAAATAAACATCCTGTACAACAAAGTTAGGTAATTGCCAAGAGCCTAAATGTCATCCTGATCAGTCATTCTTTTTTGGCTTGGGCTTTCATACTTGCCAGTACTTGAATATTCTGAATATGACCACCAGAAAACAAAAAAAAAAAATAAGGACACACCTGTTTAATAGGAATCAGCTTAAGAAACTCTGTGGAAGGAGGAAGATAAACACTAATGTATAGAAGCTGCCAGTTTGGGGCTGTATTATCTGGGTGGAGAGAATTCAGTGAAGGAAGTTTGCTCATTTAAAGAAGGGGTATATCTCTCAGGGGTGATGAGGGAGGGATGGGAAATCTAAGCCTATAGAGGTGTCCCAGGTGTAGAGCATGGGCCTGAGAGTCAGAAATCTTGGGTTCTCTTCCTAGTGCAAACACTTCCTCACTAACTCAGATAAAGCAACCCTGTTACACACCTGGCTTCTGACTTTTTAAAGTCCTTTTTAAAGTCATTACACTCACTGAACTGGACAGGAGAAGATGGCCAGGATTTCAAACCAGGTGGGTTCGAAAGGTCATCCAGGCCATTCACACTATTATATGAGGAAAGGAGTATATAAGTTCTTTGTGCATCTTGAAAGTGTCACATAAATGTCAGAGAATATTAAAGGACCTAAACTGAAATCCCTCTCTGCCACTCACTACAAATTTGACCTTGGGCAAGTCACAACCTCCTCCCGCCTCTGTTTCTTCATCTGTAAAATAACCAGATTGGATTAACGGCTTTTGAGGTCTCCTTCTATTCTGGATCTGTGATCATGCCCCTCTTTTACAGATGAGGAAACTGAGACCTGGGGAAGTTATGTTTTCCTCCGATCACACAGATAAAGTAGGCAGTAAGGTGAACTTACTTAGGCAGTTAGATCAAAGTGTCTGTATCAGCAAATGTAAATTGGCTGTGCCGGTTAGCCGCGGATGTAACATCCCCTCCCCCAAGTTTCTCCTTCCCCACCCACCTCGTGTTTTCCCAGAGGGAAGGCAGGCGTCCTATATTTTAGTAATTGAGTCTAATCCTCAGAAAGGTTCCTGGTCCAAGAGATGCTGCCCTGACCCAGTGGATGTCAACCTCTGGTAATCCACCCTAGTTCTTGAGCCCCTTGGGTATCCTCTCTGGATCCTCTCTCCCCATTTCCCACACCCTACTCCCCACACCAAGGTAGAAAGGGGAGTCCTATACCCTTAGACAAATTCCAGTCCCAAACTGCTGGAAGGTTCCTGGGCTATAGGAAGGTGTTCGGGGACACTGGATGCTAGCCTTGGGGGACGCCCTTGGTTCGCCAGCCCCTTGGCTCCCCACGAGGTCTCACCTGCTCGTTCCAGCGATGCAGCTGGCTGTAGCGCACCTTGCAGAAGAGGAACCCTTCCAGGTACACAGAGTACAGCTGAAATTACACAGACGGACAGACAGACAAACCCGTTAGCAGTGAAAAAGAAGTCAGGAAACCTGGTCCGAAATGCTGCAGTCTCACCCTAGCCCCAGGATCCACGTACCACGTAGCGACCCCCCAGTGTGTCCAGCTTCTGCTGGGACACTGGGATGCTGAAGTGCATCTTCATGGTGCTTGGAGGAGATGGCTGGCCCCGGTGGCAGGGCTGGGGCTCGTGTTCCTTCTCTTCTGTGGGACCCTGCTCTGCACCCAACGTCCGGGCACCAGCTGCAAGCTTTGCATGCCCACGGGAGGGCGGAGCGGACCTCTCTTCTCCTCCCCTGAGGGGAGAGGGTACGCCCCAGGTGATGCGGCCAGGACCGAGCTGAAGCACCGCCTCTTTCCCCCCGCTCCACAAAGCGTTTGGAAGGAAAGGGTGGGGTGGGATCTGTGGCTGAGGCTGGGAAGGCTGTTGCTTCTGTCCCCTGAAAAATCAGAACTCCAGGGACCAGTTTGTGGAGCTGTTCAGGGCAAAGAATTGGAGAGCATGCTGATTCTCATTTTCATCCATCTCTCACTCTTGGTGTTGGGCTGCTGAAAAGACACAGCTCCTGAACCCAAGCACAGTCCAATCCGATTTGATCCAACAAGCATTTTTAAAATTCTTTTGCCTTTATTTTATTGTTCCCCGATTTCTCATGAAGTCATTAGCTTCCACTTGTCCAATTAAATTTTTTTAAATTTATTTATTGTTTTCATCATTCACTTTTATAAAATTTTGAGTTCCAAATTTTTATCTCCCTTTTTTCCTCCCTTCTCCCCTCCACAAGACAGCAAGCAATCAGATATAGGCTATACATGTACAATCATATTAAACATATTTCCACATTAGTCATGTTGTTAAAGAAGAATCGGAACAAAAGGGAAAAACCACAAGAAAGAAAAAAAATAGTATGCTTCAATCTGCATTCAGACTCCATAGTTTTTTCTCTGGATGTGGATAGCATTTTCCATCATGAATCTTTTGGAATTGTCTTAGATTATTGTATTGCTGAGAAAAGCTAAGTCTATCAAAGTTAGTCATTGCACAATATTGCTATTACTGTGTTCAGTGTTCTAGTTCTGCTCACTTTACTCAGCATCAGTTCATGTAAGTCTTTCTAGGTTTTTCTGAAATCCACTCACTCATCATTTCCTATGGCACAATAGTATTCTATTACATTCATATAGCACAATTTGGTCAGCCATTCCCCAGCTGATGGGCATCCCCTCCATTTCCAATTCTTGGCTACCACAAAAAGAGCTTCTATAAATATTTTTGTACATGTGGGTCCTTTCCTCTTTTTTAGTAATCTCTTTGGGATACAGATCTAGTAGTGGTATTGTTGAATCAAAGGGTAGGCATGGTTTTAAAAGCTTTGGGCATAGTTCCAAATTGCTCTCCAAAATGGTTGGATCAGTTCACAACTCCACCACCAATGCATTAGTGTTCCAATTTTCCCACATCTTCTCCAACATCTATCATTTTCCTGTTTTGTCATGTTGGCCAATCTGATAGGTGTGAGGTGGTACCTGAGAGTTGTTTTGATTTGCATTTCTCTAATCAGTAGTCATTTAGAGTATTTGTTCATATGACTATAGATAGCTTTAATTTCTTCATCGAAAACTGCCTGTTCATATCCTTTGACCATTTTTCAATTGGGGAATGACTTGTATTCTTATAAATTTGACTCAGTTCTCTACATATTTTAGAAATGACTTTATCAGAGACACTGGCTGTAAAAATTGTTTCCCAGCTTCCTCCTTTCCTTCCAGTCTTGGTCATATTGGCTTTGTTCCAACAAGCATTTATTAAATGCCTATGATGAAGCCTGACAACTAGTTGTCCTGGGTGAATAGACTATTAAAACAAACAACAACAAAGAACAAACAAACAAACAAACAGACAAAACCCATAACAATTACATAATACCCCTGGGAGCTTACCTTGTTCTGAAGTCTCCTGGAGTCAGGCTGGGTCTAGCTCCACTTGCCCCCTGTGCCTGATCAGGGTCTCTAGAAGGACCTGATTGGGAGTAGATTATATTGCCAGATAATTTTATTTCTAGTTACTGCAGGCTATGATCTGCCCCATTTTCTTATTTTTGTGTGGGGACAGTGTACTGCTGGCCATAGACTTAACCTACGGTCACTAGAATTTAATCTCCTTGAGGGAGTGGCTGATTCAAATTTTGTTTTGCTTTTTGTTTGTATCTTTCTATTCTTAAAGCTTAGTACAGTGCCTTGCAATGCTTTCTGAATTGACCTTAAATACAATGGGTCTTGGGGGTCTATCTATATTCCAAAATTTATTCTGCATGATTGAAAAGTCCTTTACCTCTAGAATCCGGGCTAAGGTCCTAGAATAGAAATCGGAAGAAGATTCTTCCCACCAAAGAGCTGTGTCACTTAACCTCTCTAGATTCAGAATCCTCATGGAGCTGTACTAAATCACACAATGTCAAAATTGGAAGGAATCCCTGAGACCATCCAGTCTCACAGGTTCCCAAACAGCAGTCTCTTCTATAACCTCCCTGACAAGTGGTCATCCAGACTTCACTTGGAGACTTCAGGTAAGGGGCACCCCTCTAAGATTCTCTTAGCTGTAATATTTTATAATTCTATGATGAATGGTTGACAAATGTTGGAGGTAGATGGGTTGGAAGGACCATAATTAATACAGGGAAACATCCTCAATGAGAAAGCTCATTCTCCCGCTGCAGGGAGAACTTCTTTGGAACTTAGAGTCTTGACAATTGCCTAGAACATTGATTGGTTAAGTGACTTGTCTAAGGTTACATAATCACTATATGTCAAGGGCAGGATGGGAGGGAACTTGATCCCAGATCTCTATCCACTATGCCATGCGGCCTCTGGTTAAGGGGTAGGGGGAACCCATACGTGTGGATTTTAACTAGAAGTTTGACAATACATATATAATACAGAGACTTAGTCTTAAATGAATTGTGGAATTAGAGAATACTACTAGCAATGGACCCCTTCAATCAGTCAAGAAAATCACAGGAAATAATGGAGATATTTTTGCTTATTTGTCCAAAGGGAGAATCACTTCTTGACCAGCCTTGGGGTGGAAGACAAAGAGAACCCAGAGGTTTTACACCATTTCAGAGTGGAAAATGTCTAAAGTCAATCTGCATTACCCCCAGTTTTGAGGACAGGTCCCTCTTCTATTGAAACAAATTATCAAAAATGGGAAATGGACAACAGAAATTATATTGATACTGACCATAATTTCATCCAGAAGCATAAATTAATTGCTATAGCAAAGAAGTTAAAAGGAAAAAAAAAAAGAAGGTCCCAAAAGCCTTAGTCAACAAACATCTGACTAACTTGCCAAATAGGGAAAGATGTCTACCAAAGGCAATACTGGCTTAGAATCTAAATTTGTATGTAAAATCTTAAAAAGAAGGATGTTGGATGATCATAAGCAGGATTATCTAATCAAGCAGAGAAAAGCAGCAAAGAATAAAACCAGTCTAAAGAAAACTTACCCCCCCTTATTTTCTTACTCAGTATTGCCTGTGAACCCCTCATAAAGCCTAAAAAAAGTCAAGAATAAAAAAAAGTTCATCTCATGCCAGTCAAATCATTATGTCAAAATCAAGTGAAGTGGATCAGAATAAGAAGAGCCTAAATAGGATTTGAAGACCATTCAAGAGTTAGATCTTTATGCCCTTCCAACATTCATTATGGAAGCAATAAGGAGATAAAACACATACCACCCAGCAGATTCCAAGAAATTTTTGGTAAGCAATGTCAAAAGAGCTGGAAGTACTCTTAATGTGCAAACTTATACTGCTTACAATGTTTCCTTTAGGAATTGGAATAGGAATTCCTCCAACTCTGCTCAGCTAGCCATCAAGATCACCAATCCAAATGTTTGACTGAGGAGTGAAGAAAATGAGTAAAATGTTTTGCACATTTTTATTTGTGTTAAATAAAATGTCAAACTACCATCTGGGGGAAAAATAAAGAAAAGTTGGCAAGATATTCGACTAAGCAAAGCTATCCCAAGGGCATTCAAGGATGAAAATGGAGAGAAGATTAAAAAGAGAAGAAAGAAATGGAAATACTTTGCAAAAAATGTTTACAATAAACCATTTTGTCCATCAAGGATGGTGGACCCACAACACTTGGACCCTGACCTCATAGTCCCAGAGGTGCTTGTAATGAAAATAGAAATAGCATTAATGACAACAAAAGAAAAGTCCTTCTTTGGTCAGCTTGGATGAAGTATATATAGTGAAGATTTGTACTGAAGACAATACAATTGTAAAGGCATCAAAGGACTGATTCATAAGGCATTATGACAAAATCAAATATTGATCTTAGATTTGATACTTGATTCCATTCTGTAATTGATTCTATTCTGTAACTGCCTGAGCCATCTCTTTTGTCTCTGAGTTAAGTTCAGAAGTTCGTGGGTCCTGAGGGTTAGCTTTCCTCTCTGTTACGTTTAAAAGCTAAGTTTCCCTATAAATCACTTTAATTGAAAGAAAATTGTGCTCTCTCTACCACTAGCTGCCCTTGTACAATTGGAAGAAATCATGTCCTTGAGAGATGCAGGTAGATGCCAGGGAGTCTGGTCTGTTATCTCTACAATGCTGGCTGTCCTTCAAAAAAATTGGGCCTGTTATCACTGTGATACTAAATAGCCTTGCAGGTGGACACTACCAATGAGCTTTCCATAACAACAAAATGGAAGGAAAGGTTGTTGCTAGCCCCACATTCCAAACTTCCATCCAATCATATTGTTTTCCATCATCTATGATACTTTGGAACTCATAACCAATTATATTGTGTGATGTTTTCCTATTCTCTGTTCTCTTATACTCCCCAAAACTATAGGAAGGCTAGTAAGCCCTACCTTGTGGTCTTTTGGCTGACTGAGAAGCCAAGACCAATTAATTGTAATTGTTGGCTTTACCAATAAATTGAATGTGCTTGGAACATAGTGCCTCACTTTACCTTAATTTCAATCTTGACAATTAAAATCTCAGACCTTATTGGCTCCAAAAAAAAAAAGTTACCAAAAGAACATCAGCAACTATCAACTTATATACCAACTACTAGCACATCTACATGAAATTAAGGGCATCCTCAATGAAGATATTAGTAGAGAACCCTCAAAGGAATTTGGCTTGTCTATCCACACAAGGAAGACCAAGTGGATGAATCATTATTGCCCAGATTTCAAAGTGTATCTGAAGGGACACCTTAGAGA